AATGAAAAAGAACATAATCGCAATGTTTTAAAGCGTTTAATTGATGTATCTTTATTTCTAGCCAAAAATGGTCTTCCATTTAGAGGTCACCGAGAAAAGTTTGATTATGAAACACCAAACCAAGGTCTTTTTATTGAACTTGTTAAGTTAGTTTCAAAATATGATGCTGTATTAGCAAAACATCTTGCAGTATCAAATAAAAATGAAACCTATTTAAGTCATATGATTCAAAATGACATAATTAAATCTATGGCACATGAAACTGTTCAGTTAATACTATATGAAATAAAATTGGCGAAATATTTTACTATAATCATTGATTCAACTATAGATATAAATAAGAATGATCAATTTTCTCTGAGCTTAAGGTTTGTTGACCAAGAAGGAAAGATAAGAGAGCATTTCATTTGTTTTGAAGAATTACTAGGTGCCTCTGCTAATAATTATTTTAATATTTTAAATAAATGTATTGAAAAGTATGATTTGGATTTTTCCAAGTGCCGTGGCCAGGCTTATGATGGAGCAAGTACAATGTCTGGTCGATTTAGTGGCTTACAATCAAGAGTAAAAGAGTTAAATCCTCTTGCATTGTATATCCATTGCTGCGCTCATAATTTAAATTTGGTCTTAATTGATTCCATTAGATCTTCCGTTGTTGCAGTTTCATTTTTTGGTACATTAGAAACTTTATATACATTTCTTACCAGCAGTTTACCTAGACTTCATATTTTAAAAGAGGAACAAGCAAAGCAAGTAGATGGTGTAATTTTATCATTAAAAAAATTATCTGATACAAGATGGGCTAGTCATAAGCGAGCAGTAGATTCAGTGTATAATAGTTTACCTGCTATTGTCAAAACACTAAAACAAATAAGCAAAGGCAAAATATCCAACACAAAATCAAAAACAGTTTCAGAGGCACAAGGTTTGCTTTTTCATATTATGAAACTTAAATTTAGTTTTATGTTACTTATGTGGAAAAATATATTAGGAAAAGCTTATATATTATCTAATTATTTACAAAATACATCAATTGATTTAACAACTGCCTTTAATATGATCACATCTTGTTCTGAAAATATTAAATCGATGAGAACAACTGAACATTTTTTAGAAACTCAAAAAAATTCAATTGCGTTGTTTGAAAAATTTGATGGTGCCACAAAGTTTGATGAACAACGAAACAAGAAAACGAAAAAATTTTTCGTTGAAATTGGTATAGAGGATGATTTAAATAAATCAGCTGATCAAAGTTTTAAAATTAATACTTACTTTGTAATTTTAGATTCATTTATAAATGTTTTAAATCACAGGTTTGAAGATTTTTCAAATATTGTTCAGCAATTTTAATGTCTTGATCCAAGAAAGTATTTTTTTGAAAAAAAAACTAATGAGAAATCAATTAATCAACTTAAAAAACTCTCTGAAACTTACAAAATTGATATTGATCAAGATGATCTCATCTTAGAATATGAATCATTTACCTCTGTTTATTATCATTTAAATAAGGACTGTGAAGATATTTCTACAAATGATGTTTTGAAATTTATAATAACTAACGATATGATATCATCGTACCCAAATTTATCTACTTTATATAAAATTTTTTATACACTGCCTGTGAGTAGTGCTACGGCTGAAAGAAGTTTCAGTCGTCTCAAATTAATTAAGACGTTTCTTCGCTCTACTATTGCTGAAGAAAAATTGTCAAATCTTGCAATACTTAGTATTGAAAAATGTACATCTGAAAAAATTAATTTCAATAGAGTCATTGAAACTTTTGCAGAGATGAAAAAAAGAAGGAAACTATTATAATTTTAATAATGAAATAAACACACATACAGTACCGATAAATGAATTTTTTTGTTTTATTACCTAGTACACAAGTATAGATTTCTAATCTAGTTTTAATAAGTGGCCCCTTGAAATGTCCTGACCTACAGTCTCTAAACTCTGGATCCGCCCCTGTCCCAAATAGTAAAAACCAATTATAAATTATTTTAAGATTGCAGGAGACAGGCACAGGTTTAGAAATCGTAGGCAACAACCCCCACTTGCAAATACGCGAGCCGACTTCATATACAAGCGAGCCCGGAGCACAGCATAATCAGATGTATCATAGCTACTAAGACCTGAACAACTTCAACTTCAACCCGTTCAACACACATGCTATTGTACATTACATAATTGTTCGCTAATAAACCATCATTTCGATTCATTCGAAAAATTGTCTACACTTCCGTCGTCAAAAGTCATCGGCATTTGGACCGTTGAAAGTATACGCTTACAACGCTACGCATGCAATCTAGATATCCCACTTGCAAGCATTTATAAATTTGCCTATAATGTAAGTGAAACTCCTCAAAAACGTCCGTATCGAATAACCTGACATAGTCAATACGTCATTATGAAAATCATATAGGAAACTATTTTAATACAATATTATATATTATTTATTAATCAGCACAATATTTTGGTGAAAATGACACCTTCATTTTTGAATACATAGGTATTATAGTATCTACATAATAATTTTTAGTTTTTATGTTACCATTTTAGCTGCAAACATTGATTTTTTACCTTTTCTGAAGAGTTTGTTATTTTTAAAACGAATGACTCATATTATATCAAAAGAATAGATTTTTGTTGGATTTTTCCTCTTAAACCACTGTAATAGAACGGGCACCTAGGTTATTAGTTTTCTCCAAGTGATGTCACACTAGATATTTGTATAATATATATATGTAACGTCCTTAATGATTTAAATTATATATATTTATACATCGTATAACAATATCATATAACACGACCGAAAGCAGTGCTCGTATTATAGCATATATTATGTATAATGTTTTCAATTTGAACGTACACATTGGTGAATAAAGCTTTGAAGTTTGAAGTCGGACAAATATTTCGGCGATCTCACATTTATAATGTTCTCTTGTCGTATAATGGTCAACGGGTGATAGAGTTTGTTCAGCTTCAGTTACACTTGTCACATTATCATCGGGCTGTTAATTTTTCAACAATCAATTAGATGAACAAGTATAAACATGACTAAACTTACTAAGGTTAGCAACAATGTTTGTTTACAAATTAATAGGTAAGTACACCTGTTGTTGTATTTTAGTATTTTACTATGTAGGTAATTTATTTAAAATGTATCATGTTTGCTAGCAGCTGTTACTAGGTATAAAGTATAATTATTTTAAGAGCATAATACAATATTTATATAATAAGTTATTTTTATTAAATCTCGATGGAATATGGTAATTTTAGTTACTATATTCATAAAGCGGCATGATATATATTTATGCTACTAATAGACAATAGCATAATATTAATTTAAATATTTTGAAAATTATAATATAATATGTTAGATGCCGTTAAAGCATGCAATCCGTTATTTTTTAATTAAAAATACTACACATTTACACAATACAGATAAGTATTGCTTAGTTTAAGTATTTATATTAAAATTAAACTATTGCTTTATCTAGGAATTGCATAGAATACATATTTGGATAGTCTAAAATGATTGAGAATAGTATTGAAGTAGACATCAATTAATTTTTTTGTTATAAAAATTTCAATTTTTTGAACACCTACAACGCTGTGACTCAATACAATCATTGCATATAGTTATGTACTTTAAAATAAATAGATCTTTCTGGTTCAAAATGATTATAAGACATATGAAAAGTTATGTATTATCATATTATATGATTTGTACTTAAGTGATAATATACATGTATTTATATTTTATATATTATATCAATGCTTGGGAGGTTGAATTGTTAAAAGACCGGTAATTGGATGCACTCTGCTGAACAGTAGGTTATAAGTGGGTGACTGTAGCTATAATAGATGGTGTTTAGTTTAAATGCAATGATAATTGATATAAAATCATTGTGTACGAAAAACGATTGTGAGTGAAGTCTGTCTGTCTGCCTATAATATTACTTAGTAATTTAGTATATTTGATTATATTATGTACTATAATTGTGATTAAAGTAATTAATTTTACTATTAAGCATAACTGCATAAGTACTACAGTCTACAACAGTAGGTCAAATTAATTTTTGCCAAAAAATTTACTTTTGAAAAGCCATTGTTTGTATGAAATATAATAATATACCTACTTTAAAAATTTAACGTACAAACGAATAATATTTTTAAATTACAACAAAATAATTATTATCCTTATTTTTGGTTTAAATATATAATTCCATAAAAATTTAAATTAAAAATAACTATGGAAAATGTATATATTCTTCATAAGCTCTCTACAATAAACTACAAAGTACACGATTTGCGGTAACGGTATGTCTATGTATGGCAGTGGCGGTCAAACGGGTGGGGGGGGGGG